CTGGCGAGGGTGGCTACGGTCGCGCCCCTCCGCTGGCGCCGGCGAGGCCGCTCGGCGCCCAGCAGCGAGGGCGAGCGTAGCGCTGCAACGACGCTGCGGCGCCGGGGCGCCCCGTCGGCGACGACGGCGCTGATGGGCAGCGGCCCCGCGCTGCCATCGGTCATGGTGGCGCGCCGGGACCAGGCTCTGACCGGCTCGGTCCCCCCGACAGTGAGCGCACTCCATCACAATTACAGCCGTCGAGTGGCCGGACTCGATCAGTGACGCCGTGCCCCTTCCGCCCTAATGGCGTCGGCGCTCCCTCGGGCAGCCTTCCGACCGACCCAATCGTATGCATATGATCGGTACAAAAACCAATTTGTAAATCAAGTTTTACTGGCGAATGCCGACTTTTACGATTGCAATCAAATATCGGCCTGGTTCTTACAGCTGCAACTGACATGTTTACGTCGCCGTACTTGGGCCGTGCGGTTGATATCTTTTAAGCGCGGGTCCGTGCGTTCGATCCGTGCCCTCCTGTCCCCCTAACACAGATATAGCCGAGAAGACACGGATGCTGCCGGCTTCTCGGCGTAGCCTCCCTGATACGAACCGGGTCGGGACAACGGGGCGTTTTTTTTCTGAGCGCGGCCATCGCCGTCCGGCTTGGAAACGGCACGGCTGCGGCTGAATCGACAGCTCTTTCCGGTGCTGCGGTTATATCCCGCTGCGGTCTTACGCCGCGCCGCTCGCGGTCCGGGATCGAGTTTTTGTCCGAGCTCTCCATCAATAAAGCCTGACCTGGAAAGGCGCGCGGAGCCCCGCCCCTGGATCCCCTAAAGCCGAGGCGCTTCCTCCGCTTAAAGAATGCAGTCGGGTTCGGCCGGCCAGCGGCAGTTAAAAACTGACTCACACGGCGGTGCGACAGAAGCCATGCCGACCTAAGCGAATGGCCGACTCATTGCTGAAAACGCTGAGTTGTCGCGGGTTGTCATTTTGATATTCAGAACAGGTGGCGCTCAACGGAGCGCAGCTTTTTAATCAGCGCCTCCTTTTCTTTCGAATATCTTCTCCCAAATGGTCCACGGCCCGGTGTAATTTTTCGCCCTGTCGTTTTCTTTGAAACTTACTTGTCTGCAACTCATTTTCTTCCTCGACTCCAACAAATTGCTGCCGAATCTGAATCGAGCCCAGCAAAAGAAGATTACAGCGATTTAATTTCAGCCGCAAATCTTGGCGCTGTTGACAGCGCGCGGCGCCGGGCGAAGCTGAACCCCCGGACTTTTGTCCCAACTTCCCGCTCCCGGTGCGCTGCCCCGCTTAGATTCCCCGCCGGAGCGCGACGGGGGGCGCTCGCTGTCCCCAGCAGAGCACTCCGGAGACACGGCCGACGACCGCAGAGAATAAACAGCGGCTGGAAGCCGGGATCGTTAGGCGCGCTCGCTCGAAGCTGGACCGCGAGGCACCGCTTGAATGAAAAACTGGTCGCCGCCGGTCAGCCACAGCTGGCTGGGCTTCTGTCGGCCGTCAGCCGCCGTGCGCTGGTGTGCTGGTCGGGTGACACCTTCCCTCCCACTCACTGGCGCCGCTGGTCCTCCAGCTGGTCGCAGTCTGGGACCGCTGGTCCGCACCCACCGCAGCTTCTCACCGGGCGCCGCGGAACGACCGCCGAAGACGACCTTTTTTGTGGGCCGTCAGTTGGCGGGGCGGAGCCGGGCTCCCCGCGGCGCGCGGCTGGACCGAGTCGCCGGACCGCGACACGGGAGGTCCGGTGTTGGTAGCGTCCCCCTCCCCCTGACGCCCCCCCCCCCCCCCTGACGGCCAGATCGGCACGACCGTCACGGCCGGAGGCGCACCGACAGATAATGAAAATGGCACAGCGCTGCCTACGCGCACAGACGATGACGGCCGACACGGGCCATCTATCACGGGCCGGCCCACCCGTTTCTTGTCAGCGGGGACGCGCGACAGCCCTCTGACGGGTGTTTAAGGAGGCCGGCCGCGGGCCTAATGGACCGCCATCGCTCCACGGGCCCGCTGGTCCGTCCGCGCCCCAGACGCGTTTAATTGTTTGCTTGTCGTCTGATGAGCGGATGATTCCGGTGGTCCTGCGCCGTCTCCTGGTGATCGGTGGTGATCCCGGTCCGGACTGGGGACCGGCAGCGGAGGGCGGCCGGAGGCGGGCCGGTGGATCCTCCCTCCCCAGGTCGGGACGAATCTGCCGCCCGGGACCGGAGGCGCCGCTCGAGTCCGGCCGCCAGACCCGCGTTATCGCCCCCGACAACCACCGTTCATCCATCAAAATCTGACAGAGTTTCCCCAAACGCAGGCGGCGGTTAGCGCACTTAGGCCGGCCGGACAATGCCGGTTGAGCGGCGAGCCGGCCGCCGAGGCTGCTGGGGGGCCAGCCTCAGCGACAGTCGGCCCGCTCCCCGGTGTCTCCGCTTCCTTGTGTGCGCACCGATCTGTCTGCGTTCCTCACGCGGGTGTTTGTTCACGTCCGTTTGTACTTTCTCGCTGTGCTGTGTGCATCCGGCCGGCTAATTTTGTCCCGTCAAAATGTGTGTGGTAAGCCGCCGCTTGTTTGCGAGCCTTTCGCGCAGCGTGTCTTTCAATCGCAGCCAAAGGATGAAAGGGAAGTCGAGTGCTCCGCCGCGCGCCAGCGATGAACAGCTTCGTGCGCCGTTCTTTGTCCATGCCGTGGCCATTGCCCGCCTCCTGCCGACCTCAGGTGGACTCCTCCCCTGCCCGGCACCCGTTGAGAGGGACGGTATAACGGCCGGCACCCACCGGCAGCCCCGGTGCGGAAATTAAATCAAAATCGGACGCTTGATATTCGGCCGACAGCGGCGTAATAAAAGGTGTTTGGGGGGCGGCCAGCCGCACTACCTGCTGTAGGTCTCATAGACTGTTAATTAGGCCCGTTTCTCATGGATAAATCATGGTAAATTACTCTTTATAAGCTGATCCTGTATCATTTTAAAGGAGCCATAAATTAGTCGAGCTGCAGGGAGGAGAGGAACAAAGCTGGTTGATGCATATTTCTCCTCATTTAATACGAATTGGACGGTTTTGATAAGCGATGCGTCGGCACGGAACAGCTGAGGGCGCCGAGAACCGGGCTCAGCAGGCAGCGCTGCTCCGGCCCAAGCAGGCAGCGCCGCCCCCGACCCAAGCAGGCAGCGCTGCTCCGGACCCAGTAGTCAGCGCTGCTCCGGCCCCAGAGACAGCGCTGCTCCGGCCCCAGAGACAGCGCTGCTCCGGCCCCAGAGACAGCGCTGCTTCCGGCCCCAGAGGCAGCGCTGCTCCGGCCCAAGCAGGCAGCTTTGCCTCCGGGCCCAGTAGGCAGCGCTGCTCCGGCCCCAGTAGTAAGCGCTGCTCCGGCCCCAGAGACTGCGCTGCTCCGGCCCCAGTAGGCAGCGCTGCTCCAGGCCCAGTAGGCAGCGCTGCTCCGGCCCCAGAGACAGCGCTGCTCCGGCCCCAGTAGGCAGCGCTGCTCCGGCCCCGGCAGGGCAGCGCTGCTCCGGCTCGGGCCGTGCGCCGACGCCTCCGCTTTTACTCACCATTACAGCGGCGCGGCTGCCCAGAGAGCGCCTCCGCGCTCGACTCTAATGTGGGCTAACCCCGCGCCGTCGCCCGGTCGGCAGCGGCGGCCACCCGGCGTGGCGGCGGCGTTTGATCGACGCACGGGCGCAGCCAGGCACGCGGGGCCGGGGCCGGCTCCCCACTGGTGCCAGTCGGAGGATCAAACCTACCGCGTCCCGAAAAAAATATGGGGAATATTGTACCCGGAGCTGTATTGTATTGGAGCTGAACATTGCGCACGGCGGGAGAGGCTGACGACTGGCATTCCAACGCCGCGGACGTCGCCGCCCTTGATCGGCGGCCGTGCCAAAACCCGTCCGTCCAGCCGCGTCGGCCAAGACAATACCAGGAGGAGGGGCCGACCAATTTACCAGCCGGCCCGCTGTTGGCATTGTTTGGCGCGATGTGTCGGAAGACGCGATTAATCCACCAGTGGCAGTCGCGCTGCGTCCGGCACTGTTCCGCCACGTCCGCGCCACCTTTCGGCGCGGTCGCCACCAAGGCCTTCTTTTGTCTCGGAGAATGAGGGACAGCGGCTTGAATTAACTGCCAAGGTGCAAATCACTTTATGGCCGGCTTTTTTCCGCCCGCTTTTAGCGAGGACCTTGTTTTCCAGGCGCGATCCCAATCAGGTAAAGGATAGGCGGCTTGCGTTGCCGGTTTAATGATTTCAACAGAGACGCCTCCATTAAGGAGGCGCTCGTATAAAAGTCGTAAAAATCGCCCGGGTCGTGCCGATCATCCCGGTGAACCAACTCAGGGGTCAGCTGTGCGCCAGCAGCTTCTGACCCGGCCGCCCGCGAACCGTGCACGTGTCCCTGCTCGCCGGAAGCCGAGGATCCCTCCGAGTCTGCCACTCGTGATGGAATGACGCCGCCAGATCGCTCAACCTGGGAAATGGGGACCGATCCGGAATACTCTGGCTGCGATAGCTTGTTAAAGCAGGTGGGTGGGTCTATTAATTAGCTCTATTTTCGGCGAGAATGCTAATGACAGCGATAGCATCGGCGTTCGGCGGAGGCGGCCAATCGAGCGATATCTCAATCGCGCTCAATTTTTCATCGGTCGCGTCGAACGGCGCACGCCGGCGTCGTCCCTAATCCAGCGGACGGGTCCCGCGGGCGCCCTGTGACGCCTCCGCCGCCGCCGTCTCCGCCACCGTCACCGCCGGCCGCATCGGTACCGATGGAGGGGTTATGGTGGGGGAGGCTTTAGGCGCAGCGTTCAACGTACTTTTGCGCGTGACGGAATGTGCCTGACCCGCCTGGACTGTGACACGCCTGGGCCATGACCTGTCCGTGCGCCTGACCCGCCAAGGCTGTGACACGCCTGAGTGCCTGGCCTGTCCACGCGCCTGACCCGCCTGGGCTGTGTCACGCCTGGAGCGCCTAACCTGTCCGCGCGCTTGACCCGCCTCCTCTGTGCGCCCGTTGCAGCCGGCTACAGCACGGTGTACGCCTGCGAGGGCTCGACGCTGAAGCTGGAGTGTGGCGACGACGAGCTCATCAACCTGATCCGAGCCAACTTCGGCCGCTTCTCCATCACCATCTGCAACGAGAAGGGCAACACCGACTGGAGCGTCAACTGCATGTCGCCGCGCTCCCTGCGCGTGCTGGAGCAGAGGTAAGCTACGATGCCTCCCGCCGCTGGCTGTTGGTGGACTCGGTTCAGGTCATTGTGCTATGTGGGACGAGTTTACGCGAGCAGGTGGGACAGGTGATAGGTGATAAGCTCGGCTGAGCTGGGAAGTAGGTACGCAACGGGCAAATATGAGGTACTTCACAAAATGTGTATCAAGTTTGGTAAGCATAAGGTGGCATGGCAACACCAAGATCCGGTATGCGGCGACACGTGCAAGAAACAGTGACACTGTGACGCGGCGACAGAGCAAGGAAGCGCTCACCGCGCTCGCGACACGGCTGACAACAATGGCGGCTCCCCCCAGTGTTCAGCTGAACAATGCTGACCTGCCCGCCCCAGACGCTTTTCGCCGCGCTGTATCGTAATGTCGCGGAGGAACAATGCCGACCACGACCTCATGCGCCGGCCGGAGAACAGTGTCACCTGGCTCGGCCGCGGACGCGAGAGAGCGCGAGATGTCACGCACTGGCGGGATGATGGGAAGGGTTGCCTGTGAGCAGGGCTGTGCAGATGTGAGCGACTATGTGCAGTTGACACGGGGCTGGGATGGAACTAGAGCAGCCCCGGTACTGGTCTCCGACGGGGATAGAACGCTCATTAGATGATTGAGTGAAGCACAGTCACGCTCCTGCCGCGCCCGGGCACCAGATTATTGGGATACCGACACTGCAACGGCCTGCTCGTGTAACAATTAGACCCAGCCTCCGCCACATGCAGGATATTTCGTGCACGGATGTGCATCCTCCATTACATGAATACAATTATGGGATAGGCTCTGCAAGGAACTTCTGTTATTATTTCAATAAATCAGCGTCGTATTCATCCCTCGCCGCCGCGATGCCCGCCGATACGTGGGCGGGGGCGCCATGGGGCCGGCCACCAGCGACATGTACCAACACCGATCCACGGCCGGCGCGACCGGCCCGTGTGTTGAAACCCTATCAATAACGGCGTCAGGCGGGCTCCATTCAGTCGCGCACACACTGCAATAATAGCTTTCTAATGAAGAATCATTCACGGGGATCGCACCTCGCCTCGGGTCAGGCCAGGTCGCCGAAATAATTAACTGGTCGTGGTGAAATTTCGTAACTAATAACAGCCGATGTATGGCCCGGGGTTTTCTATTAGCCGACTGCCGCGGGCGGTGATGTTTAGAAAGTGCGCGGCTCGGGTTCCGAGGCGCGGCTGGCGCAGCCCCCTCCCCCCCCCCCGCCGCTCTCCCGACGCGGGGGGCGGCATTGTTCGCCGGCGGCTATCCATCTGACCCGGCCCCAGGAATGCCGACCACCGAGCCTGATCTGAATAGAGCGAGCTGGCGGCGCAAAAACGGCCGACCGGCCCGCCCGCCGTCTGCTCTGTAATTAAGACCGAGTCCCAGCCGGGCGCCACGGTGGGACCGGACGGCCGATTGTTTGGTTCACGCGCGTGCGTGAGACGGCGCGCGGCATGGCAGACGGGCGCGGCACGCGCGCGCGCCGGCCCCGGGCGGGGCTGACCTCGCCTGGTCATGACTGCGCCGGCGGCCGGCGGCGGCCCCATCTGAACCGGCGGCGCTATGATCCGTGATGTAGGCAGCAGCCGTGTGCGCGCGCCGCAGGAGTGGATGCTAGGATTTAGACATTCAGTCATGGATATCCAACCTTGCGCGGGTAGATATCCATGTTGCCTTAAAGAAATTCCAGCTTTTGTGGTTCGTAATTTTTGTTTTACATCTTGTAGATTTTGGTCAGAGGGTTTTTCACCATGAAGCTTTTTTCATGTGTTTGCAAATGATCCCTAGGAGCCAAGACTATTTAATTAATTTATTAAGAGCCCTTGTGCTCGAAGGTACGTGTTAAAATAACGGCATGGGACGTTTGGGAATCTATTTTGGTGAATAATTTTTGGCTGACCAACCGCACAAGCCTCCACGGGGTTCTGTCCAGTGACTGCCTATGCATCCCGTCTTAAGTTTCTTTGATCTTCAATTTCACCGAGAAGGTTTTGCGATCTGCCTCGCCTGGCATGTATTGCTGCCGGACTTGCGGCTGGTTGTAAATGTTTTGCATTGGGAGAAGGGTTTCTGATCGGTCAAAGAGCTTGTTTCCATGATTCAGAACACATTTGATCGTAGCCACCTAGAACATACATATATACGCATATAAAAAATTGTGGTTGGGTTTCTTAGGACTGCGCGTTTTACGCGTTTCTTAGAGTTATGACGAGGAATGCAGTGCCTTGAAAACTTCGCCTGAGGACGTCCTGAGCTTTGGGATCCATTTCAAATAGGCTTGAGATCGATTTGAATCTTCAGAAAAAGGCTTTTTTGGATCTCATAACAGTGGTTAGTTTCGTCAACAGGTCCACGGGGCTGGTTTTTTGGACTTAACTCACAATGCTACTGTACATCAGACTCCCTCATGCTCCCCCCCCCCCCCCCCATCCCCCTTGTCCCCCCTATTAACGCGCCCGCCACGGCGGTTTCCTCCGCTCGGCGATGACATGCAGGCTGCTCAGCTGAGCGAGCCTCTGCAGGCACAACGCCTGCACGCTGCCATTGTGTTCGGCGCCTTCGCAGCGCACACGACCCCGCGGCCCGCCGGCGGTTTGGCGCCACGCGGTGTTCCTGTTCCCGCGCCACTCGTGTGCACGGGATCAGCGTGTTATACCAGCGGTGCACGCTCAACGAGCGCATGGTTTTTGCCGCGAACACCTGTGAAAAATATCTTAATTAGCATCTTCGCGCGTGGAATTAGCCGTGCATGGGACGATATTTTCGGCAAGCCCGCTCTCACGCGAGCCACCAGAAGGAAAACAGCAATTAGCGCGGCGCGCCACGGTCGTCGCGGGATAATTTTACATAATAACAGGTGGTGACGGACGCGAGCTTAGCTGAGTTACGGTCGGGCTCCTCTGCGACCACCTTTGTCCCGCCAGTGACATATGGAGACAAGCAGCCGGAAAATTAAGATGGCGCCGACGAGGTCGTGGGGGAGGGGGAGGGGGACCGCGGCGCGACAACCGTGTCGCCGGCCAAACGAGCGCCGACGTATATATTTATCAAAACGTCATTGCCGCACGGACTTAATCAATTCCGCTGTGCCCCAGGGTGCCAATCTGGCGCTATAAAGCGTGCCGTTCGACAGCGGGGCAGCACCTCCGCCAGCTCCGGTGGGAGGGCCCCCAGGCCCTGATGACAGCCACATGGCACCGATTAACACGGCTATGACCCCATTGCATGCGCACTGTTGTTTCATTTGGCGCTGTGGAACGGCGAACTGTTGAAAGCTTGATTCGCTGTCATTTCGGACGGGGCCAAGTGGCCGTATCCACGAGCGTTGGAGGGGTGGGGAGGGGCAGGGAGTGGGGGGGAGGGGCGGGGTCCTGACCGGCACCCGAGCAGCAGTCGGCCGCCGCCAGCGCTGGTCGGAGCGTCACGCGAGACCCCTCCCCCGCCCCTACCCCGCCTCCCTCCTACGATCCGTGTCGGCAGCAGAACCGGCACGTTAATCATCGACTTTCGTCGCCTCGATATGATGCAGGGATCGGCTCGACGCTGAGGTCCCGACCGCCTTCATGGGCCGGGCTGCTGGCGCCCGCGGCGGTGCTGCCATCTTCAACCGGCGCTCTGCAGCGACCGGAATTCGTGCCGCATTTAATATTCATGTACAGGCGGGGTCGTTATCGGCGCCCGACAGGCGAGCTCCAGATGCGGCGCGAGAATCGGCCGCCGGGGACGCCTAACGTCTTCATCGCGGTGCGGCTGCGCCGTTCGCCGCGCGGGGCGGCGCGTCTGCAAGCCGCGCCAACAGCTGATTGCGTGCCGACTTTAATTGACGCACGGCCGCCGGCCGCGCGCCGTATTGTCTCCTTCACCGGGGCGACGACGCTTCCGCATGCCGCCTGTGACGTCACGCC